CAAAAAAAAAAAAAAAAGAACAGGGTGACAAGGATGGTGAACTGACGAGTCATCATTTCTCCTAAACAATGACCTACAAAACGAAACCTAGAAAAGTGTAAGCTAACAAATGAAATACCACTAGCAAATATTTACAGAAAAAAAGCAGTAACTTGTAGGGCCAGTTTTTAAACATGTGAGGGGTTAGCAGAGAGCAGGACCACCAGATTTGCTTTGTACATGCAAAAAGACAGGACTGAGGCCCTAGCAGCATGTTAATGGGGCAGAAAAGTAAGACAACTGCCCACACCTCTGTGCTGGGAAGCAGGGAGCCAGGCATCCCTGTAGGGATCCCCTTGGGGGCAGATGACCACATCCAGGAAAGCCCACTGGGGTTTCCTCTCCAGGACCTGGGGGCAGGATGGGGGCGGCACTCAGCTCACTGCCAGTCCTGATTCTTTAATTCAGCACTCCCCAAACAGGTATACCAGAGAATCGCCAGTAGACTGGATGTGAAAAAGGGGTTCCATGACTCAACAATAGGGCAATGTGTGTCTTCGACTCCAGTTCTGGGAGTTTTTGAGAGATACCAGCCATCAAAGACTCTGGGAGATCCTGAGTGCAGAGACCTCTGGACCCAGATGAGCCCAGGGAGTGACTGGCCACTCCCTCCAGGGAGCAAGCTACTAGCACCAGTCAGGGAAAGGATGCTACAACCAGAATCTCTCACCAGCCAGAGTGCTACTCCCAACTCTTCCAGATGTGGAAAAGGCTCCTTCGTCGGCACCCTGTGCCCAGACAGCATGTCTTCCTGGCACTGACCACACAGCCTGCTAGGCAGCCCTCGGCGACCTGGGAGCCCTGGTAGTAAGGATGTAACTCAGCTGCCTACTGACCACTCTGCTGACATTAAGGCAATGCAGGAACTTCCTTAAAGGCTGGAAGTCATTTCCCTGTGCATCTCTCTTCACTCGCAGGACTCGGACAATTTTGTACACCATGTCTGGCTGAAACTTCCAGATTCCTAATCTCATCTGAGCTGCCTGGGCTTACTGAGCACGCACTGCCCTCCACATGCCAAGGCCATGCTCACAGTGGGGTGGGGGTGGTGCACATGAAGGCAGAGACAGGCTCACGCACCATCCGATTCGCTCCCAGCACCTCCGCTTGCTGGGCTCATACGTGAGTGCAGCTTCCCACAGGTCCACGTCTGGGGTCACGCTGGGTTCAGACTGGGAATCAGGCGTCAAATTGGACGCTGACTGGAACCCTTCGTCCTCCCACTGATCCACGCTCTGAGGAACCTGCGGAGCACAGGGAAGAGCACATCACCACCCGCTCCCCTGCGCCCACGACTCGTCCCAGGGGCTTCACACACACTTCTGTTTGCTCACCGAAGCAAAGACCTAGCACATGTGTACAATACAATGTTTTCCTCCAACAAACCATTTAAGGAATTAAACAAAATAATTTATTAAAACTTTCAAGGGTTGGCCGGGCGCGGTGGCTCACGCCTATAATCCTAGCACTCTGGGAGGCCGACGCAGGTGGATCGTTTGAGCTCAGGAGTTCGAGACGAGCCTGAGCAAGAGTGAGACCCCGTCTCCACTAAAAAGATAGAAAGAAATTAGCTGGACAACTAAAAATATATATACAAAAAATTGGCTGGGCATGGTGGCGCATGCCTGTAGTCCCGGCTACTCGGGAGGCTGAGGCAGGAGGATCGCTTGAGCCCAGGAGTTTGAGGTTGCTGTGAGCTAAGCTGATGCTGAGGCACTCTAGCCCAGGCAACAGAGTGAGACTGTCTCAAAAAAAAAAAGGAACTGAATTTTTTATTTCATTTCAATTAACTTAAATTTAAAGAGGCACTCTAGGGAACAGAAATGACTTAACAACATGCTCTATCAGGTAAAACACGAAAAGCAGCATGTTGCTGTGGCCTGCAGGTGGCAGTACCCTCCCTGCTCAGGAGATGGCACCAGCAAGCCCACACCAGCATCCCTGCCTCAAAACAGCTCAGCCACCAGGTGACCTAGACTTGAGCCATGCTACTTTACCATGATAAAACAAAAGCCAAAGAAAGCATTTTCCAAATCCCCAGGGAGATAAAAGCAGGGAAAACAAACACTCCACCTACCTTAATGGCCAGTCCAGACAGGTCTGCACTGTCTGGCACCGGAGGCAGGTCCAGTCGAATATCCATGTCGTAAGTGCGGCTGTGCACAAGGGCACCAAAGAGCGAGACCCGGGTGTCTCTCTCAAATCTGTCACTACAAGGGTCACCAAATGAAAAGAGCCCAACAGTGGGCAGGCCAGTGCCTGGGGCAGCCTCCATAACCTGAAGTGTTTCCTGGGTCATGCTGTGACACAAAGATTCCTCTCTGGATATCAAAGACTGAATGTCCATCTCAAACACACTCAGGTCATAGCAATCGTACCCGCCATATGGAACGTTTCTCCCAACATGTTTGTTGTTAAGGAAGTAGCCCCGTTTTCTTTGCAGTACTTGAGGGGGACCACTCCCTGCCAGCTGAACCAGGAGATCCAAAACAGACCCCACCTCCGCAACCGGACAGCAAGGAGCTGCTTCAAGCTCCTCCACAAGCTCCTCCAAACGGTCTGCCTCGGGGCCCAGGCCACCCACTCTCAAGTCAAAGGACAACATGAGGATCTTGTTTCTCACTGGGAGTTTTGACAGGTCAGGCTGCAGCTGATGCATCTCATCTTGAAAAAGATTTGTGAAAAGAGCATTGTAGGCCACCCTCTTGAGACTCTGCTTTGCCCTCTTCCGGTTCACCCTGCGCTGGCCCAGGTGAGTCTTAGCAGCAGGCAGGAGGGCTTCACACAGGTCATCGAAGAGCTGGGTGATGCTGGCCATGCCGACCCCTTCTCAACTCCGGGCCCCCAGAGTGAGAAAACACCTTACCCCGGCTTCACGTCACATTCTGAAAAACAGGCAGTGGCAGGTCAGACAGGGTTAAATGACAGGTAGCCTCTTAATCCTGAAGCACAGAACTTGCATTTTAAACGGGTTGCTCTACACGGAGTAAGCACGCTCTGCCCTCCCCAGCCCGCCTGTGCTGCCCCGGCGGCCCTCAGGGCGGGCCACAGGAGCCCACCGAGCGCCAGCTGGCGTTTTTCTTCTAATTCACTAGTCTTTAACCTTCAGGAGGCCACAGAACGTAAAAAAGCCGAAGAACGAAATATGCATCAAGGAAGTACGTAGTGGACGTACGCGGCCTTGCACGCGTTCCCGGGGTCCCCTTGCAAGGCCGGAAGAGGCTGCTGCCCGGGGCCTCGCGGACTAGAGAGGGGATCTAGGGGAGCGGCCGGGGTGGAGGGGAGCGGCGGCGCGGGCAGGGGCCCCGGGGTCTGGCCTGTACGCCCGCCCAGTCGTCTGGCCTCACCAGGGGAGAGAACCCTTGATTCCCGTTCCCGCTGCCGCCGCCGCGTCACGGCCACGCGACCGTCAAGACCTCTACAGCCGGCGCACCGGAACTGCGTCACAGGTGGGAGGCTCCAGCCGGCGCTTGAGGAGGGGTGTGGCCGGAGCCGCGGTCCGGCCCCGCCCTATGGCTTCCGCAGCGCACTTCCGGCTGGCGCCCGAGTCGCGCGCGCCCAGAGCCCCGTCATGACGGATATGAAGGAGGCGGAGTCAGACTCTGGTTTCTCCAAGTTTACTGACGTGGGGCAGGGCCGCCGCGGGGCGGAGCGGAGCTGGGAGAGGTGGGGCGGAGCTGGGCTTTCGGGGGTCGGAGGGGGCGAGGCGGGCCGCTCCAGCCCGGCCCTGCCACGGAGGCGGCGGGCGGTGCTGAGCAGGGAGCTGGCGGGGGCGGGGCGGGGGCGGAGCTGGGGAGGGGAGGGGCGGGGCGGAGCTGGGGAGGGACGATGGGGACGGGAGGCGGCGGGCGGTGCTGAGCTGGGGATTGTGGCCGGGCTGGGACCGGCGCGTGCTGTTACTTCTGCGGCGCTGACACTCCCGCCGCGGCCGGTTCCGCGCTGCCTCGGGAGGACGGCGCTGGAGCAGGAGGCGGGAGAGCGCGCCGTCGCGGCTGCTCCAGCCCTGGCCGCCGCGCCCAGCAGGGCCGCGCGTCCTCAGCCGGCCTCACCCGCCACCTGCAGCATCTTCCACTGTGGCTCCAGCTGCCGCCTGAGTTCCCTGAGGGCTCGGACGTCCTCCGGAGCGGCCCCCGAGAAAGGGCCCAGGCTGGGAGGCGCCTCTCCGTGCAGCACCCGGGCCAGGACCCCGGCCAGCTGGGGCGTGGACTCCTGTGCCAGCGCCCAGGGGAAGCAGTCACTGTCTTTCCCAGCCCCCACCCCACCGCAGGTCCACCCACCTGACTCACCTCCTCCACCAGAGCCAGGACTCGGCCCCCTGCGGGCCCCCGCAGCACTGCAGCCAGGAGAGCCGCTTGGGGACCCTGCAGGCCATGGGCAGGCCCCAGGGCCACCAGCACCAGGTCAGGCTGGAAGCCGTAGGCCAGGGGCAGCACCAGGCCCAAGACGCAGCTCAGGAACCCACCAGTCATCTGTGGAGACAGTAGGGCCCCAGCTTCTCATCCAGGGACACCCCTCCTGCTGGCTCTGCCCCCGCCTCCTAGGAAGTGAGCAGGGAGCCAGGAGGGGCCAGGGGCCTAGCTCTCATGACAATGTCAGTGAGGTGGCTGCACGCATTAATGGGGTCTCCCCCAGCTGCCCTGCCACACGGCATGGCCACTCACCCCTGGCAGTGGTGTGGAGACGTGGAACATGGAGGGGGCAGCTGCCTCTTTGCCCCCGATGCTCAGCCACAGAGTCCTCCTTCCAGGGAGAGTGAGCACATGAACATGAGTGTGTGTGTGAGGCCCTGCCCACCCGCCTGAACCCGGGCAGCAAAGGCAAGGCAGAGAAGAGCCAGGGAGCGCTGACTGCTGACCCTCTGTGCGGAAGGCCTGCCTGGCGTTGCCCCATCCCAAACCCCAGCTGAGGAAGGCCCCATTCTGTATACAGAGTGCCCCATCCGCGCAGCCCCCTGGGGGCCCTGCCACATGCCCATCCATGTGCTCGACTGGATAGATGCGTGACCTGAGTCATACCCATCATCAGGGAGGTCCAGGGGCCGGTCCAGTTGTCCCAGGGCCACACAGAACAGCCTGGAGGAAGAATCAGCCCCAGGACAGGCTGTGTCCACACTGCCCAGACTCCATTGCCAGAGCTCTCCCCACATGGCCAGCTGGGGTACGGGCTACCCACAGGCCCTGCCCCTGAAGGCTCACCTCTGGGCGCCACGGGACAGCCCTCTCCGAATGGCCACATCCAGGATGGCCACTGCAGCAGAGGCCGGGATGGCTGCGATACCGCTGCTCACCTGTGCGATGAATCAACAGTTGTGGGGGATGAGACACCAGCCACCCACCCCCAAGCCAGGTAAACAGACCCAGTCATGGCTCCTTTTGGTCTGTGTCTACATGGCTGTTATCAGCCCTTCCTCACACTCTGAGATCAAATCCCTCCATTTCTGAAAATAAGATGCTTAAATTTATACTTTGTACTTTTATTATTATCATCATTCTTTTGGGGCACAGAATGTAGGATAAATCTATACTTTAAATCATCCCCTTCACCTCTCTGCCAAAGAACATTTAGTTGAGGAGGCTGAGGCAGGGGACACCCACAATCCCGTCCCTGGGGCAGTTCTGGGAATGGTTCCTGGCACAAGGCCACATGCATGTCCCTGTGGTTCTACACCACCCAGCCCCCTCTGGACTGGCCACTCCCCGCTATCAGGTCCTGGGCCCTACCTGAGTCCACTGCACCCGCAGCCCCTCCCAGATACCCCACCTGCCCATCCAGGATCCCATCTAAGAGGTACAGGAGCTTCCCAAGTGCAGCGAGGGCCTCATCCGGGGCCAGGGATGCATGTGGCCTGTGGTGGACAGAACATGTGGACAAGTGGCCATAAGGTGACTGCACGTCAGTTACACACAGGCACGTGCACAGACACGGCCCCACCGCTCTCCCCAGGCTGGCCCTGCCCACCTGGCCCAGGTCTCTGCCTCCTCCCTCGGTGCTGATTTCTCCTGATGGAGAACATCAGGGGGCAGGACCAGGGTGGCATCTGGCGCGGTCAGGGCAACGGCCGTGCGGACGGGGGGTGTGGGGTGGAGGCGCCGCTGGTCCAGGAGGGAGCTCAGCACAGCAGCTGCTGCCTCGCATGCACGGCCCCCGGGCGGCACAGGCAGGGGCCTCCCCTCTGGGGAGCGGGCGCTGGGACTCAGTGCGGCGACCACGTCTAGGGACAGTTCAGAGTCACCGCCACTGCAAGGAGGTGCAAGGTGGGATGCCCCCAGCCCAGGCCCAGGCCCCACCAACCTTGCTGCTGGAGGCTCACCCAGTGAGGGGCCTGGGCTGCTCGAACACTCTGGATGGACTCCAGGGCACTGCGTGGGTGAATCGAGAGTGGTGAGGCGAGGCCTGGCCTCCACCCTGGCCCTCTCCGCCCCCTCCCTTCGCACCTCTGACACGGCATCAGGGGCCCCGGCAGGGGCGGGGCCGGGTCCCCCAGCAGTGCCTGCACCGTCATGCACACCGACTGTGCCAGTGACTCCAGGTGGTAGCCGCCCTGGGAGAAGGGCAGGGGTGTCACTGCGTGGGGCTGGACTCCCAGGCTTCCACGTGGTTGGCTCCAAGCCGCTGGCCCTCGCACCCTCCCCTGGTCACCTCCAGCACTGCGCAGACTCGGCCGCCGGCCAGCACCTGCAGCAGCTGTGTGAGGTGGGCGAAGCACTCCGGCGTGGCCTGCATCTGCCCCTGGAACCAGAGCTGTGCGTGATGGGGGCAGGGCCCAGGACCCCAGAGGCCCTCCCCAGCCAGGCCAGGCCCTCACCTCAGGGTCCCCGATGGCTGAGTCAAATCCTGCGGAGACTAGCACCAGCTCAGGGTCAAACTGCAGGCCATGCCAGGGTGCAGAGGGGAAGGAGGAGGCTGGAGTGGGTGCAGGGGCAGCCTGGTGCTGCCTTCCTCACCACCCCTCCGTTGCTGAGAGGCCCTCCGCACTCCTGCCTTCATCTCATGCCCACCTGCCTGGGGGGCTGCCTGCCTTGGGGCCCACCCACCGTGCAGTCACCTCAAAGGCCAGCGGCAGCAGCAGGTGCAGGAAGGCAGCCATGTAGTCAGCATTTCCCATCCCGACCTTGTGGGGTGGGGGTGGGGATGTCAGTGGGCCAGCTCTGCCAATGGGGGCCCTGGCAGGATGCTCAGGCTACACTTTGGAGACCCAGAACCGTAGGGTGGGGAGCCCAGGGGGGCACCTGGTTCCAGGGCAGATTGACAGTGAAGCCACGGCCCTGTCCCCATCCAACGGCATCTGCATTTGACTCTCGTAGGAAAGGCCAGAAGCGCCCATGCTCATATCGGTGCCAGGAGAAGTAAAGGACACTGCAAACAGCCAGCCGGGGTCAAAGGTCAAAGGTCAGGACCCTAGCAGCTCCGTGGCTCCTCACAGAACCCGACCCCTGAGGACACAGCTGCGTCTCCCCCCTTGGATTTTCCCAGGCCAGGCCGTGGACCCCAAGAGTGGGGTTGCAGGGAAGGGTTGTGTCCCCACCCCCAGCTCACCTGGGGTCATCCTCAAAGATGTACTGGATGCCCTGGCCGTGGTGGATGTCCCAGTCGACGACCAGGACCCTGGGACAGACAATGCGGGGGGTCACTGGGGCCTCCCACCTCCAGCCAGGAATGGGAGGAGGCCGGGTGGGCTGTCAGCCTCCTTTGCCCCTTCCTGTCTGGCCTGGGTCCTCCACCGCGCAGCCAGCCTGGCACACACCTGTGCAGCCCGTGTTTCTGCTTGGCATGTTCAGCTGCTATCGCTACATTGTTGAACACGCAGAACCCGTTGGCGGCTGCCCTCTGGCTGTGGTGCCCAGGGGGCCTGGGGGTGAGAGTGGGGTATCACCCATGTCAGGGTCATCCTGTCCCCTCCCCAGGCCACCCACGAGGGGGCAGCCTCGTGAAGGGGCAACTCTCACCTCACCAGGGCGAGCCCATTGTGCACAGCTCCCAGGAGCACGGCGTCCACCAGCTGCAGCGCAGCCCCCGCGGCCAGCCGGGCACAGTGAAAAGTACTCTGTGGGGCAGGGGTGCAAGTGAGCCCCATGCCGGGCAGCAGGGCACCAACCGCTGGGCAGAACAGGCCAGGCCAGTCCCAGGTGCCAGCAGTGGCAGCAAGCAGGGCATGCAGGGTGCTGTCACATGCGTGAACAACGCATGGGGCCGGGGGTGGCGCCATGGACATGAGCGCACAGGTGTGTGGGTGTGTACGAGGGCACGCACCGGGTGGAAGTACACGGCATCGTACTGTCTGGACAGCGCCTGTAGCTCCCCCTTGCCCAGGACCTGGGTCCCCCGAACCAAGGCCACGTACTCCGGGCTGCAGACAGCAGACAGGCAGGAAAAGCAGGGTCACCACAGGCGCAGGGAGGGGAGTGGCTGGGGTCGGTGGTGGAGGGCCCACCCGTGCTGCCTCGTGGCTTTGAACTGCTCACCCACCCACCCGATGGTAAAACTGGCGGGCTTAGGGAAGCCCAGGTTCCTGGGCGGGCTGCCCCCCAACCTGGGGCTGCGGGGTCTGACCTGTGCACCAGCCCCAGCTCTGCCTCCGAGGCCTCGCGGGCTGACAGTCGCAGGCACCTCTGCTCCAGGCCGCACTGCCGCAGGCGGTCCAGGACTGCAGTCAGGCGCTCGGGACACTCAATCTCGCACTCGGGGCTGGGGCAGATTGGGGGCTCAGTGTCCAGAGCCCCTCACCATCCCCGACCTCAGCCAGGTCACACTTACTCGTCCCAGAGCAGCCGGGGGGCCGTCATGTCCTCATGGTACACGAGCGCAGTCCCCATGGCTGGGCTGTGGTTACTTGGGACCACTCCCGGGTGGCAGGACCAAAACCCCTCCCTCAAGGTGACTGCACGTCTTATACCCACTGCAGCCTGGGGAGCAGCCCGGTGCCTGGGACCTGCCTGGGACAGAGCCCGGGCAGCAGGTGGGGCCAGGGCAGGAACACTCAGAACTCAGGCAGCTCAAGGGTCCCCAGTGCACAGACGGCGCCAAGCGAGGCCACGAACAGGGGTGGCCCCAGGGCGGGCTTCCGGCTTCCTGTGATTCCGTCTGGGTCCTGCTCCACCCCTGGCTGCAGCAATCCCCGCCCCAAAGCGGGATGGGCCAGAGGAGGCCCCACCTCCTCCACCTCCAGAGCTGCCATGGTGGGCCGCCGGGTGAGGGTGGGGTGGGGCGTGCCCAGGCCCTCTGGGGCTGTCCCTGGGGCCCCGCGCCACCCACCCATGCTCTGTTCTGCCCCCAGCTTCCCTCAAGCCCACCTTGAACATGCAGGGTCAGACCTGCTGGCAGCACCCCGCGTCCATTGTGGCCTAGGGCCCGCCTCCCAGGGCTGGGGAGGAGCCAGTTGAAGTGGGGGAAGCTGAGGTCCACAGGGGCAGTGGCTCCTGAGGGGCTGGTGGTCCCAGGCAGTGGTTGTGGCTCAGTCCCCAAGTTTCAGAAGGGAGTGACAGGGAGACCCCTGGCAGGAGAGCAGACAGAGTCAGGGTCAGGGCAGAAGCCAAGACGCTGGACAGGAACCAGGGCAGTCGGGAGAAGCAGGACAGGTCTGATGGAAGGGGCGCAGTGTGTGAAGGATGGGGGTGCGGCCACAGCCACAGAGCAAGATGCCCCAAGAGAGGAGGAAACCTCCAGCCTCGCCCAGAACCCTGGGGTGGGCGCTGTTGTGTGCATCTGGTGCTCAGTCATGGGGTCCTGGGGCCCCCAATCCTCTTCCTTGCTCAGCCCCAGGCAGGGCCAGCCCCATCCGAGCCTCCCTCCTGCAAGCAGCAGAAACGGCTGGACCCGCCAGAGCACAGGGGCTGCGAACGTCCAGCAAATCAGGACCACTCCCAGCCAACGGTGGAGGCTGGGGGAGCACAGAGGGTCTGGGCAGGGATATGCAGGAGAGGCACAAGCGTGACCCTGGGCAGACAAGGCCAGTGTCCACGGTGGCAACGCGTCTGACCAAATTTGGCTGGGCCAACTGTGCACATGTCCATCCAAACTCCCAGCTGGAGGAGGGGGCCCCGGGCCTCCCCCCCACCCCCCCACATCACTGTGCCCCAGCCTGGCCCCACTCTGGGTGCACCTGTCGGTGGGAGGGGGTGAGGAGCCAGGGTGGTGGGAGCTCATGCGTGGCCTGAGGCCTGTGGAGGGTAGCGTGGGCCACTGGGCCACAGTGGAGGGAGAGGCACCCAGCCGCAGGACCAGAGGGGTCTCGAGGTGCTCCGCGTGTCCCCTGCCTCCCCAGGAACCTTCTAGCTGCGGAAGGCACAGGGAGCTCAGCCAGGCTCGAGGCCCAGGCTGGGTCCTAACACAGCCCCCATCAGGCCCTGCCCCTGGGCCGGCTCCCGGTCCACACCCTGCAGCCTGCACTCTGAGCTGTCAGAGGAAGGTCACCCCGTGACAAGGGAGGGGCCGAGCCCTGGTGTGGGCGCTCACGGCTCACTGGAACAGGACTGGTGACGTGGGCAGCAGCTCTGTGGCCTGGGGGAGGCGGGACCCTCAGGAGCCCCCCCCACCCCGCTCCCCAGCTCTCAGGCCAGCCTCCTATCTCTGTGCAGCTCCGAGGCCTCAGGGTGGGGACCCAGCGTGAGGACACACAGCTGGAGAGAGAGATCTACAAAAGTGTTTATTCCCTTCCAGCCACGTGCACACGCTGCAGGCTGGCTGACATTCCAGGCTGGGGAGCAGGAGAGTCCACGACTGACCCCGAGCTGGGGCCTGCGCCCTCCCTCTGTCCTTCCTCTCCAGCAGGGCCTGGAGCACGCAGGGCTCGGAGGCCAGGACTCGACCCTGGGCCCTGCCAGCTCTGACATTTCTTGCTGCACCTGGCAGAGGCCAAGGCTCCAGGGGTTGGAGGCCGTCCCCAGGTCGGGCGGAAGTCCTGTCCAGGAAGTTCAGATGCTCCGGCAGGGCTGAGGTGGTGCCGGAGAACAGAGGAACAGGCCTGGGCAGGAGGGTCCGTGGAACGAGGGGTCTGCTCCCAGTAGATGCCTTGGGATGCCAGCCCCGGCCAGGGTCGAGGTGGTAACCAGGACCCCTCCCGGGGGTAGGCCAAGGCAAGGAGCCTCCTCCGCCAGCCTGGAGCCCAGAGGTCTTCACAGAGCCGTCTCCTTGGAAACCCTGGTCCCCAGCTGCCTGGGCGGCTTGAAGCTGAGCACCTCTTTGTAAGTGACACCTGGGAGGCAAGCGCAGAGAGGGAGCCGTCAGCTCACGGAGCAGGGCGAAGCCAGGGCCTCGGGGGCCCTCCAGCCCTGAGGGCCAGTCCGCCGAGGAAGGTCTGTGTGAAGGGCCCGCTGCTACCTATCTGGATTTTCCTAGGGAAACAGGAGGCGACAAGCACTTGCATTCCTGACCAAGGACTCGGCCACAGACGGGCCACATGTGCACCACGGGCTGCTGTGAAAGCAAAAGCGCCGGCCACAGTGTGTGGGTGGGGACCGCAGAGAGGATCCTGTGGCCCGTGGTTTTCAAGTTATCTTTTTTAGCAGCAGAAACCTTTCATCAAACAAAACCAAACTCATACGCACACAACACAGCACGGCTAAGGGAGGGGCCCCTGCTGGAGACACCCAGGAACCCTGTGGTCCTGAGGAACACAGTTTGAGAACCTCAACCCAGCCAGCCCACGACCAGGGCGGGGCTGGGGCGCTGCAGGCCCCAGGCCGGCCACGCAGCCACGGAGAGCACCGGCCCAGCCCTCACGGCCACTCCAGAGCAGAGCCGAGGCCAGGTCCAGCGTGGGGCTTCCCTGAGCGTGGCTCAGAGATGGACAGGCCTGCGTGGGAGGGGCGACCGCACAAAGCCTGCAGGGGGAGGGCACAGCTGCAGGGGACGGGACTGCTCAGTCAGGCTGCACAGGGAGGGATGGCTGGGGCAACCACGGACGGCTGTGCAGTCGTCCAGAAGGGAGGGGTCCTAAACTGGGCCAGGAAAGGCAAGGACAGACGCCAGGGGTGTGAGCAGAAAGGCCCTGGGGACAGGTGGACGTGGAGGGGACTCCTGGGCAGCCCAGGGCTCTAGCCTGGACATGGGGGAGGCAAGGCAACCAGGGCAGGGTGGCACGTCTGTGGCCACCCTCCCCCCATCCCTCAGCTCCAGCCAGCAGTCCCAGGCCGCATGGCTGTACGCTGCCCTCTGACCTCCTGACCTCCTCTTCGCCTGCCCGGAGCCCCACTCACGCTTCCACTCGTCCAGCGTGCGGTCCACGTCGTCGAAGGAGTCGTCGTACTTCTGGGCCTTGGGCGCATCTTCCGCGTCGTGCAGGGACTCGAAGTAGGGGTGGGCCAGCGCCTCGGCCGCCGTCACCCGCTGCTCCGCATCCAGCACCAGCATCTTCTCCAGGAGGTTCACGGCTGCGGGGGGCTCACATCAGGCCGGGCTTCGGGAGGCCCCCGGTCCACGCCCTGCACCGCCCACCCTGCCCTACCCAGGGGGCTGGCGTTGGTCAGGATGGAGGCGAAGTCCTTCTTCTCCAGCTCCGGGAGGCCCTTCATGTAGTTCTTCGCCTGTCGGGGAGAGAGGGTGAGGAGCCAGCCCCACGCCAGGGCCGCCCGCCCCCCACAGCGCCCCACTGACATCCGCGCTCTGCAGCCTCTGCACGAACTCGGGCGACGGCGTGCCGGTCACCTTCATGATCTCCTTCAGCTGGTCCAGGTCTGCACTGAGCTCAGGAGCACAGCTGGGGCCAGAGAGCGGGGCCCTGACCCCGGCCTGGGGAGGAGCCCAGCCCCCGCCCCCCACACTGCCCCCACCTCCCCACACTGCCCCACGGCCCCCACCCGCCCTCCACCTGCCCCAGGCTGGAGGATACGGTCGTTGCCCTTGAACAGTGTCTTCCCCGTGATCATCTCTGCCATGATGCAGCCCACGGACCAGATGTCCACTGAGACAGAAGCCCCAGTCAGCGCTCCGTGGGCGGCGGGGGACAAAGACAGGGGAGGGGGACACAGACATGGCCGATCGGGTTTGGCCTGCCCACGCCCCCGTCCGGCTCCCACTCAAGCTCAACAGCCGCCCCAGGAGCAGCCATCAGGCCGTGGGTTAGTGGCAGTGCCACGGGGAGGCTGCGTGTCTGGGCAGCGTCTCACCAGTCTGTGTGTAGCGCATCCAATTCAAGATGACCTCGGGTGCCCGGTACCACCGCGTCACCACGTATCCGGTCATCTCACTGTCTGCCTGCCTGGCCAGGCCGAAGTCCAGGATCTGGGGGAGAATGGGAGGGTCGGGGCTGAGGGGCCCTGAGGACGGGCGGGCCAGCTGACCCCAAGAGGGCTGCGCTGGAGCCTCCTGCCGACTTTCCAGAGCTTGTGGCTACAGCCTCGGACCCCAAGCCACCTCCTTCTCCCCCGCGGCCGGGTCCCCCAGCCCAACCAACTTCAGGAGCAGATGGTCTGGGGGTCTCCCTCCCCTCTTGGGCACCTCTGCTCAGCCCCGCCTCAGGTCAAGCACGGGGCCCTGAGACACCCCACCTTCTCCCGAAGTAGGGAGGGCCTCCCCAACGCCCAGCTGCTCGGCCACTGCCCAGAGCCTGGGGTCTGGGCCCCTGCCTGGGCCTGAGGGCAGGCGGTCAGGGGGCAGCTCAGCAGGGACGCCTGGCTCCCTGCCCCACGGTTCTCCCCGCCGGGCAACACACACCTTAAGCTCACAGTCCTCATTCACCGCGAGGTTGCCCGGCTTCAGGTCCTGGGGGCAGAGCAAAAGTGGCCAAGATGCCCAGCCCACCGGGGCATGTGCTTGGCCCAGAGCCCGGGCAGCACCTAAAGAAGGGGCCACCAGGATCAGCCTGTCCCTCCACCCCCGACCCCCGCAGAGGTGCCCGGGCCCCCAGGGCAGACTTCCGACAGGGGCCCTGCTCAGACAATGCTGCGCACCCCCAACCAGACCCCATCAATCCCCCGACGGTGAGAGGTGATGCTGGGGGACTGAGCCCTCCCATGCCCACGTGGTGGGGGACCGACGGGTGGCCCTGCCAGGACTCACTCTGTGGATGATGCCAGCGTCGTGGATATACTGCAGGAGAGGGGAGGCAGCC